TTCATACAAAAGACTTAAGACACGAACTTTTTCGTACTTTAACGCATGTAGCCTAGTAAATCAATGAACAGGTTAATAAGTATGTAGTTGCTATCAACTAATTAAATAGAAAACTGAACTGATGCATACAATCGTAGCTTCAACAAAAACACTTTTGTGCGTGAATTACAATAAATAACAACAAGTAATATGTACATACATACATACAGTGAGCGCAGGTATGTACTATGTTGGAAAAGTGACCATTTCCAAGGAATGTTTGTGGTCGAATCAGTTTTTTCTACATTCATTTATTTATAAGCACTACTTAAAATGAGCCACACGTTTTACAACGGCAATCAAAGTTTCACCTTTGCAACTGACTACCTTGCTATTTTGTAATTTCTTTTTCTATTTACTTTTTTCCTACTTTAACTTGAACGTCTTCTTATCGTTGCTGCAGTCCGAGGCTTGGATTTTTATATATGTATATGTATGTATTATTGTAAAGCAAGTATGGCTGGCGAATTATAGCCGACAACAATGAGCTGCTGACAAGCGCGCAGCCGAATTAGTGAAGTTTTGCACTTGGCTCTTTTAATTCCAATAATTACCTGAACAGTTGTAAAAAAAATTGTCGGCGGCGGCGACGACCAATGTTCGCGCGTTAAGCAAAGCAGCAATCAACTAATCACTCGAAAAATAATAGATATACTCCTTATATATGTATGTATTTATGTACATATTAAGAGATTGAATAGACAAAAAAGGGAAATTTTTTAATTTATAATAAAAGTATGAAAAGCGAAACCTTTATCAGATTCAATGAAATTTTATTCAAATTAAATGAAACTTCCTTTTAAGAATGTTTCATTTAATTTGAAAAAAGTTTAATTTAATTTGAAAAAGGTTTCGCTTTATCTTGAAAAGGTTTCATTTAATTTGCAAATGAAAGAGGTTTCATTTGATTTGAAAACGGGTTCACTTAATTTGGAAATGGTAAGAATCGCCCACTTTTGATTTGGATGAATTTAGTCAGAATTTGTCTTTTGTCGTATAACGAAGTTCTGCCGAAATAAAAAAAAAAATTGTTTTTTCCAAATGTATGCAAATTCTAAATTTTGTAAGTTTATTTTTTGAACATCTCAAAAACTATTATCGGTACAAAAATGGTGCTGGTCTCGTTTTAATGTTCATATTTAGGGCTATATATATATATGTATATATATATGTATATAAGCTGAAAACTTTACAGAATTTTTAATTAAAAAAGTCTTAAAAGCAAAAGCTTTTAAAAGGACGACAATTGGGGGGCTATATAAAATTATATTTGAAATTCCAAAAATAAAAAAGCTACAGAATTTTTAAATTTAAAAAAATAAATTTTCGGTAAAATTTTTGTATACCCAACTTCCAACTGATCTTAAAAGTTCCTGAAATATTGAAGAAAGTTTTTTTTAAGAAATGATCTTTTGAACTTAACCATTTTCTTAGCAAACTCTATATAAAGTTATGTCAAACAATTTTTTATTTAATTTAAGTTTACTTTTAATTCAGGACATGTACCGTGAAAAACACCTTCGTGAAAATTTAACATCAGTCAAAGGTATTTTATACAAAAATTTAGCCAAAAATTCGTATAAGTTTGTGCTTTTACGATTTTTTAATTTCAAAACTCTGTATTTTTTTAAGTATAATTTTAAGTAGCCTCAAATGTCATATTTAATAGTTTTTGAGATATTCAAAAATAAACTTGCAAAATCTGGGAATTTGTGAAAATCCTAACTTATGAGAAAATAAAATTATAGTTTAAAAAACTAAAACCTCCCTATTATAATTGCCATTCGTACTGTCATCAGGTATGTAACTTGAGAATAGAAATCGCTGCATCTTTTAGGCGCATCAATATTACATAGCCGAGCTAATAAAAGGAAGGTAATAAAAAAGGTGTTCCTTTGACAGATTTTTTTTATATGATAATAGAATTTCTGTGTCAAAAAGAAAATTTAGAAAAATATGTCGCCTACGTTTTTTGGCGGTTAGGGCTCGATATTTACATAAATTGCAGAGAAGCTTCTTTGTCAATTCTACTTTTAACTGAAACAAATTCCGTTTCGTTTGAACCTTGCATAAAATGAAGTACATGTGTTTTCCTACTTCAGCTAATAGAGTAATCAACACTTTTGTAAGCCAAAATGTAAAGTCAAACACGCGTACGATTAAATACTTATATTGTATATAGATATGTATGTACATATTAATACATATATATTTATGTACATACATATGTATGTATATGCATACATTTCTACACTTAATTGCTCACGTACAAAAACCGTCGAAGTTTGAACGATTTGCGCTGAACACATCTGCTAATCTGCGCATTTCACTTTCATTCCACGCATGCGCAAAGATCTAGCCAATGGTCAACGAACAATTTGTAACAATTGGCCCCGCTACGAGAAGGTCATTCGTAAAGTGCAATGACTATCGGAAGTGTTTGTGTACTTTATACAGTTATTATGCTCAATTTTAGGCTAGATTGTAGTTATGTATTAATGGATTCCTTATTATGGGGTAATATGGATGGGTTTTTTTTTCGAAAAATTCCTATAATAAAATACATATTAATCATATAAGCAGTTATCTAAATTAACAGAATCGTGTGACTTTTTTAATATATCAAATCATAAACAAAAACTAAACTTCACACTTACAAATGTATGTCATGGATAACCTTAATGTACATCAATTAATTTTTTATTTTTTTATTTGAACATTTCTTAGTCGAAACGAAAATATTCAACAATTTTCTTAACTTTACTTATAGGTTATTTTCTCAAATTTCCTGTTCGTTACCATTCTGGTGCTAGCCATGTGTGACCTGCCACTCGTCAAACGCCCCCTAATCTATCCCCTGTGGGCCGGAAAGAGTGCTAAACAAATAGCGCTCGGCCGCAATAAAGCCGCCCTTGTCGGTGGTAAGCAACGCACATTGATGGTACAGATACGCAGCGATCAGCCAGTGCCACTTGTACTAAAAGGTGGACGTAACTCGCAACTACGATACGGTCCCAATCATTTACGTGGCGTGCGGCCAATTAAACTTACTGGTCCGGTATATTTGAAAAGTGCCCCAATTGGACACAAACCATTGCAACGTAAGCCGCTTAAAATTAAATTGTCTAATACAAAGCCGAAACATAAGCCAGCTACCAGCTACGAAGTGCCATTCCGCTTTGAGGTACCAGTCACAAATAATATTGCCTATCCGCCATTGGGCAATGAAGCGCAACAATTGCCGGTAAGTGTTAGAATAAAATGGTTATTGTTAAAAATCGAATCTGTGATTTGTCAAAACTACTTAGCACGATTTCAGTCTTTATCCCTTTAAAATTAGTGTTTCTATACAATATTTAATATCCCTACCAGCAAACGGAAGAGAATTTTATCGCCTATCGCCACGATGTCACTTCTTCGTCACTATTGGAAGTTACCAAAGCGATAGTTACTCACAAAATTGAAAAACATTTCTGTCGCTTTTCTATCTTCTTAAAGATGCCTGGACGATTTTTGCCCTTTAAAGTTTTGAAACGTACATATTTTTATTTTCTCAATTCTTTTTGATTTTTCAAATAACGTGCAAGCAATCATATTCCATGGGGAAATTATACCATTATTATTATTGTTGTTATTATTATTTAAAGTAAAATATCCCAGAAGATAATTTAGGTAGACCTTCTTAAGTGAAGCCATCCTAAGAGGCCTTCCCAAGAAGTTCTTCCTTGCATGCCTTCTAGAAGGGCTTATCCATTTGCAATTTACGAGAATACATACATTTAACATTACAAATGAATTCCAATAAAAATTTTAAGTTACAATAACACATATTTGATATAAACCTAAAGCAAATACTTTAAAGACGTATGATTTTTATAAATTAAAGAAGCAACTTTAAAGAACTTCTCCAAAAGGCCTCCTGAAGTATATCCTATAAAAGCCCTTCTGGAAGGCCTTCTGTGGGTAGCGAAAGAGGAAGCCCTTCAATTTGTGCCACTCCATAAAAAACAGAAAGGAGAAAGGAATTTATAGTGGAAGGCCTCTTGATTCTCAGGAAGGCCTTTCGAAAGTGCTTTTAACTCCTGAAATTATCTACTGGGATGGGTACGTTTGAGCTAGTAATCTCATCCGAAAGTAGAATGAAAATGGCTTAACTCTGCGGCTGTGGTTGCAAGCACAAAGGTATCCCAAATTTCACAATGCGTTTTATCAAAAATGTATCCAACCCAAGAATCTTCTTTAACACTTCAAACTTTATCGCACAAGTTACTATTATTCTTATCGATATAGTTCCTAATTGCTGTATCGCTTTCGTTTCATAAAGACGTGACGTCCCCCGAGAGCGGTTAAGAATTCGAAAAAGTAGCGATATCATCGGCGATCATTTCCATAGAAATATCGTGTCGAATTAGTAACTTCCGCAATAGAAAATGCTGGCCGAGATATTATCGCTGTTATTTTTCTTCATACATAAGAAAATATCAAACAATTTTCCATCTACAATTTAAAACTACAAAATCACATTAGTTGCTTCGACGAAAATTCACAGATATAGAAATTAAAGCTGGGACTATCCGTGTATTCGTATATCCGGATATCCGGGTAATATCCCATATCCGGTTAATCTCTGAATATTTGGTTTTTTTAATCACATATTCGAATATCCGGATTATTCGTATATAACTCCCAGCTCTGATAAACACACTTCCATGCACAACAACATTCGACCAACAACATTAAACTATCACTTAACTTACAGTCGGAGACAGACAGCAACTTCATCACCGAGCATGACCATGACAACGATCACTTTGCACCCATTCACACAATACCTGCACCTAATCTTTCCTTGCCTGAAAATCATCTACAGGAATCCTATTTGCCACCAAAATCACAGCCACAAACCTACCACCAAACTCTAACTAACCCCAACATCGAGAATCAGTATCAAGTCACAGAAGAGCATACCAATGATCAAACTATTCGTGACCCACTTTCTGGCTCGCAGAAACTCTTCGCTCCCGATCCAGATCCATCCCTACCAGCCGCACAATTGCGTCCGGCCACGGAGCCCTTCAATCAGCCCAGCAATGGCAAACCACTGCCTGTGGATGTACAATCCAATTTCATTGTACCTGCTCAACCCCTAGTGCAGATAATCGGTGCCCAAGAGGTGGCCACACCAGAGATTTATCCAATTCAATTTACACAACAAGCGCAACTTCAACCGCTTGTTAGTGCCAATGTAGCCGCCGTACATGCAGCATCTGCGCCCATCTACGACCCCACCTATCTAGTCACACAATCCAATCAACTGTACACACAGCATCAACAGCAGCAACAGCTCTTCCAGCCCAGCGCCAGTCTGTTACAAGCCGGTTATGTTAATGCCGACCTGACGCAAGAAATTGCCAGTGATGGTCAAATCTTGCAGGCTGCCAAAGATCCACATCATAATATTCATCCAGTGCTGGATAGTGCTCCACAATTCGCAGCGCTCATCGCTGCGCCTGCCTTGGGTGAGCAATCAGCAGCACATTACAGCTTGCATCCACACGCCGCTGCCCTAACTGCCACATCTGCAGCACCTGAGGGGGGTTTTGTTGTGTCCAATTATTATGACAACGATGGCCAAGACAATTCACAGCTGCTGCAGGCGTACGCCGAAGAGGAAGCGCAGCGACTGGAAATAGAGGCTGAGCAAGAAAAGCAGCAGTATGTTTTCCAACAGCAGCAACAGCACTTGTTAGCGTTGCAACAACAGCAGCAACAACAAGAACTGCAGCAGCAAGAGTTGCAGCAACAGCAGCAACTGCACCTACAGTTGCAAGAACAGCAGCAACTGCATCAACAACTACAGGATCAGCAGCTACATCAAGTACAGGAGCAGCAGCTACATCAAGTACAGGAGCAGCAGCAATTGCAACAGCAAGAATTACAACATCAACAACATACTCGCCATCAACAACAGTCGCAAGACCCAGCCTCGGCGGCATTTCACGAGCACCAACGTTTAGTGCAGCAGCAGCTAGGCGCTGACGCACCACTCCGGATATTCGTGCCCGACGATGAGAGTGCTGGAGAAGCGGTAAGTTGTGTCGACCTTGTTATACTAAAGAAAAATATTAAATATTTACATAATTAAAAATTGTAATTTTTTAAGTACCCGATACATATTTACAAGAACATTAATGTTTTGATTTAATATTTATCCTTTACTTATGTATAGCGCCTGCAAAAACGCTCTGATATGGTGAAAAAGGGCACCGTAGAGGATGCAAGCGCAGAACACGATAACAATACAACAACGGAGGATGATATGTTCGAGGTATCTTCGTCCGTTGAAGTATCCAATAATGAGAACCAAAAAGACACAGCTACAAATGCGGAGTGATTTGACCTATGGAAATGCAACAAAAATTAATACTTTTTAAAAATAATACATTTTTGTAGTGTTGTAAAATACAATATTTATTTATTTAATTTAAAACTTATTTAAGCATTGAGCTTGTGTTTATTATTGTTACATACAATGAAAACGATGCAACTGCAGAGTAAGTAAATGAGGAATAATTTGCCCACATATCTATTGGTAGTTTTAAATACAATTACAAATTTAACAATTTAAAATTATTTATTTTTTACATCTTAACCATTATAGCTAATGCGCATCTGCATTCCATATATAGCACACAGTTTGGCCAACTCTCTGTTCTTGCAGAACACCTAAATGCCTCAGCATTACTATGCGGTTTTGTTGTTTTTTATCCAACATTTTGTGCATTTGTTGTGAAATATCACCGGCCGTAATGAAATTCCGCCCTGTAGGAAGAAAAAAAGTTTATTTTCACATGGTTTATTTTAATTATATAAGTATGTAAATATATCGACGATGCTTTTGCAGAACCGCCCATCGACCAGTTGCAAAACCGCCTAAATCTCGGTTGTGGCAAAAATGGGAATTCAGGCTAAAATGGGAATTCCAGGCATCGAAATTTATGTACAAAAATCGTAAACTCGTTACGTTTTAAACAACAGATTTGTAAAACAAAAGTTAGAGAAAATACCGCCGACCAAGTCAATGCCTTTCAAGAAAATTCGTTCTTTCGCCCTCCTGTAAAATTTGAGTGCCGTAAGATAGGCGGTTGTGCAATTGGTCGATGTATGTATAGTACCTGGCACATAAGAAGCTTGTTGATTGTACACTTTCCACAGTTCCAAATCATGGGTATTGCGTACGGTACTTCGCTGGCGATGTATTAATTGGTACTTTTTATTGAAACATGGTACCACCACAGTATCCAGAAAATTGCGAAGGTCGTCAATACATTCCCGACCTCGCATATATCTGAAAAGTTATTTTTATTTATTGCTTCAGAGACTTACTAATATTTTATATCTATGTATGTATGAGCCCTTTGCTTTCGCTATAAGCGAAAAAGAAACTCCATGACATTTGCGTCTAGGTAACAGGAATTAGCCAGATTTATTCAGCAGTATTTCACAAAACTCATTGAGATTTTTTATGCTATTACAACAACAATATAATGGCAAAGAAAGTCGCCAAGGAGTTTTGGGGAATGCCGCAGAGGGGACAGTCCT